TTTGATTATTGTAGCTACATTGTTTTTAGATAATGCTTTTAAGTAGGCTAAAATATAGATTTCAGGAGGAAAACCTTGAACAGAAACAGTATTTTTTCTGTCACATGGCCTGACATCTAAATGTAAAAATGCAATACATGTAAAAATGTTTTTTTTTTTTTTTTTTCGGACCTCTGCTTGGAAGAAAATATAGAGGATATAGAAAATATAGAATATATTCACTCCTTGGACTTATATAATAAAGAAATACTTTATTTGTAGGGTTTTGTAATATCTGTCACATATTTCTTTGTGTGTCATGGTAGATCAGACTCTTATTATAGAATTTCATTACAGAAAAACTGTTTTGAACATGTTGATGGATTAAAACATAGCCTATAAATAACAGGCTGGATGTACAATAACTTTACATCTTAACACCACTTTTTTTTTTACAAAGCAGATCATAGAATATAAATTTTGTCTATAGCCTATAAAAAAGCTTCGTAAATAGGAAGATTTCAATACATGAGGATTCTAAATGAGATTTTTTTAGCAAGCCATTAAATGACTTGAGACTCGACTCGGACTCGTGACCAAAGACTCGAGACTTGACTCAGACTCCAAGACTCAAGACTTGACTCGGACTCCAGGTTAAAGACTTCAGACTTGACTCGGACTCCAAGTTAAAGACTTGTGAACATCTCTGGTTGAAGGTCAACATCGAGGCCTGGGCACAGTGTCCTGACATTCCAACATGCTAATCGCAGGATTGGTCTTTCTTTATTTCTTCTTACTTTTCTTGGTGCAAGGTTTGCAGTCTGCTCTTCGGTATTTGCCCTAAGCTCCAAGCACCCATTGAAGCAGGCAGACTGTGGCGGGTCAGCACCTTATTGACTGGGGACTGCCCAGCTCAGGCAGGCGGTAGCTGACCAGTGGGACTACGATGATCCCTCCTATCGTCAGAGGCAGCCTGTAGCGCCCGTGTTTACGCCAGTCACTCTAGGCTTATAACTGCTACCTCTCGTGTTGGTTCTGTCACTGGAGTGACCTCTCCAGGGGGCAAGCCTGGGCAGAGTGCAAGAGGATCCTGAGATGCCCAAACTTCAGAACCCCCCTCTCAGCCTCGCTGATGTAGTCCAAAGGAGAGCAGAGCAATACGTTTGGCACCAGCTTGGTTGCAGGGGCTGTCGGAGCGGTGGCGATCTGCCACATCAGTCTGCCTTCGGGGCCCTACTGCTGATTTATAAGGTTTACTCCTCTACACTTGGCCGTTGGTTCCGCCGTGGAAATCCTCCGCCCTGGTAAGAGTACTGCACAATGCAGTTCATCCACCTAGTGGTGCAGTGTACTCACCACCCCCTCACATGGTTTCGCCCGCAAGCTGAAGCGGTGTACCAGGGTGTGGCACTTGGAGCCAACACGTGAGAGATTTAGGGGATGGATGAGAACTGCTCATCCTGCTTGCCACTCTACCAAGCAGAATGCAGCTGCCGAACAACAAAGGTGCTATCTCTATCCAGACCTCCCTACACCCCAATGAATTGGAATAGAAACATAATTATATATATATATATATATATATATATATATATATATATAATGCGTGGCTTATGTAGCCGCCGCCTGATGAGCTGCAGCTGTAACCGATCAGCCTGTGATGAGGACGGGCAGGTGTTCCTCGCTTGTTGCCAGGGCGACGCTGATGAAGCTTCGGGACGCTCGTCACACTATATATTTCCAGAATTCAGACATTTTAGAATTGCAAGTTTATATCTCACAATTGTAAGTTTCCATCTCGCAATTTTTACATTTTTGTCTCAGAATTGGGAGTTTGTATCTTGCTATTTTGAATTAACATTCACATTTCTAATTTTTTCAGAATTCTGAGTTTACGTTATGCACTTCTGTTTTGTTTTCTTGTTTTTTTTTTTTTTTTCTGAATTCTTTGGACACGTGGTTTGACCACATACATATGCAGAATTCCTGTTCCTGTTAACAATATGAGATAGTAGGGGAGAGATAGGGGGTGGGTGGGGAGTGACACCTGACAGACCTGCGAAAGCTGCCCAGATCCGAGAGAGGCCGTCCGCGTTGGCGTTCGCGGCTCCAGCCCGATGACGCACCACGAAGTGGAAGTCCTGGAGCACGAGGAACCATCGAATCACCCTGGCATTGGTGTCCTTAGCGCGGGCCATCCACTGAAGGGGTACGTGGTCCGTAACGAGGGTGAACTTCCGGCCAAGGAGGTAGTAGCGCAGCTCCAGGACTGCCCACTTGACGGCCAGGGCCTCCTTCTCCACTGCGGCGTAGTTTCTCTCTGCCGGGGTCAGCTTCCTGCTGATATAAATGACCGGATGCTCCTCACCTTCCTGGATCTGTCACAGGATGGCTCCCTGTCCTGTGTCGGAGGCATCCGTCTGCAGCAGGAAGGGGCAGCTAAAGTCCGGG